TATATATTTAAAGTCCCTCAACACGTAACCACCTAGCGGTTCAATGTGGAACAATGACAGGAAAATTACAAAAATTTGTTGCCGTGAAATCACCTTATATTCTTACACCGGGTTCTGGAACATTTATGCCTGAAATGCTACATGATTCTACAGGCTCCGACATGGAGGGGATATTGTTTTGGTGAGTAATACAAAATGGTTTGTTCGCGTGCTTCAACATACTCCTACTTGTTCCAACATGCATCAACCTATAGTATTATGTTACATATGCTAGAGTGGAGCGAATAGGATATGCTGGAAATTGCTACGCGTCGCAGAATATCCACCAATCGCAGATTTTCTAAGTATTATCCAATCATGTCACGAGGCATTTTGGGGGCGCGGTGTCGACCCTCACAACAATGAAACAATACTTGAGAGACAGAGCTACAGAGATTGAAGACTCGAGCCACCGCGCACATCAATCGAGAATCGTGCAAATGGCTGCGCAGTGCTCTTTGCGCAGCACACGTACGCGATTCTCGCTTATGTGTACATCCGGTTGCTCGGGTCCAGTGGTGCACGCATACAATCAAGAACGCGTACATGTGCTGCGCAGAACATTTTGCGCAGCACACGTACCCCTTCTCGGTTGTGCGCGTGCCCCCTCCATCGCGGTGCTCTTGTGCTGGCCGGCTGGTGCTTGCATCGCTGCTCAGATCTTTAAATTGGCATGTTCCTGTTTGAGGATCACGAGTAGCTTGTGTACGTTCGCGCTGAGAAGCTCGTTGCAGATCGAAGAAGCTTGTAAAAGGCGTTGCTCATTAAATAAGGTGAATAATCAGGTGAGATATCTGTGTCGCTTGCGTGCCAACCACGTTAACGATTAAATGTGTGTATTTTTCACATAATTCGCGACGTTGCTTGTAAGCGAGCTAAAACGTCTAAAGTGTGGTGCGGAATCGCGCTTGTTGTCTCAATGTGCCTCCGCCAACTTCTCTTTGCTCTGGAAAAGTGTATTTAGACCGCCATTTTGTTTATTGTGCGTATTCACTTTTGGAGGGAAACCGATAGTGAATATATATACCGCAACGTAGTGTTTCGTCAGATCCGCGATTATAAATGATGTTGGTGCAATTTCGTACAGCGCGCCTCGTAAATGCTGAAAATTTTTCTTTTCTCGATGGACAAAATCGTACTGCCGATTCGTCGTTTTATTGTTCTTTCCATTCTTCTACGTGTTGCCGTGTGTTTTGTGTACACGCGCATAGGTGATTTACTTTCCTGAAGATTAAACACGGTCTAATGATTATTTGCAGCCATGGCACGTACCAAGCAAACGGCTCGAAAGTCTACCGGTGGTAAGGCACCCAGGAAGCAGCTCGCTACCAAAGCGGCGCGTAAAAGCGCGCCGTCCACTGGTGGCGTTAAAAAACCGCATCGCTATAGGTAAGAACACGCGATGACGAAAATCTAGCTTCTTTCTGACACGTGGTTTATTCACTTCGAAAGTATACAAATGTATTGAATATAAAATAAAACTAACAATTCTAAAACATTCAATTATAATACATAGATATAAATTTGATACCTTTATTTTTTCAAATTTTTAAAGTATAACTTGTATAATAAAGTCTTGTAAATAAAAACTTGTATAATAAAAGTCGATTAAATGATGTAATATATTATTATATTATGTATACATATAATTATATTATGCTACAAATTTTAATCAATTTTTTGCATTTTTTGTCATGAAGAATAACAAGAGTGATATGAATGGAGTATTTTGAACAATGGCAAGGGTGCGACATGGATGAATGGAATCGTGAACAACAAGGGCATGGATAGAGGACTTTTTTTCTACAATCTTTTTTATTTTTTGAGTGTGTGTAACAGCAATTAACCCAAAAATTTGTTGGGTGTAAGATATAATTTTTTTGCTATTTTGTTGTATAAATTATGAACAGTGCTTCATCCACCTGTGGCTTTTATGAAGTTACACTTTAAGCTTTTTAAAATCTTTTTAAAATCAAGACAGATTCAACCGTTAATTTAATACCTTTTCAAAATTGTTGGCCTGTTTATGCATTATAAATTTACGAATATGGTCAAAAAACAGTTTTTGGAATTTATATCCCTATTTTCTCAGAAACTTGATGTGATTTGTATTCTGTGCATCTGATTTATCAAAAAAACGATTCTTCATGACAAAAGTGCAAAATTTTGTAACAGTGTTATCTTTATTACAAAGTTGTCTTATCTAAATTTTGTTTATTTTTTAGACCTGGTACTGTAGCTCTCAGAGAAATTCGAAGATACCAAAAGTCGACGGAGTTGTTGATCAGGAAATTACCTTTCCAACGTTTGGTGCGTGAAATTGCCCAAGACTTCAAGACCGATCTGCGTTTCCAGAGCGCAGCTATTGGAGCTTTGCAAGAAGCGTCGGAAGCTTACCTGGTTGGTCTGTTTGAAGATACAAACTTGTGCGCTATTCATGCGAAACGCGTCACTATCATGCCAAAAGATATTCAGTTGGCACGACGAATTCGTGGCGAGCGTGCTTAAATTTCATGCAATAACATCAGTTTTTCTCATTTTATTATCATTTGGATATTGTATGTTTTTGAACAGTCTAAAAGCTTAACTTTCTTCCATGTATATTTACTATAGTTGATACACTGCCAACTGCTGTAATAGATGCCAGAACAGAAATGATGAATGTGTTTCTGTTGTGCTCCATAATTTAACGAGGCACAATCATGATATACACTGATAAAAATGTAGACAAAAAAAAATGATGTATTTTTTGTTTTTAAGAAGAAAATTAAATCATTGCAAAATCAATAATTAGTTTTTATATTTGGATATAGGAGTAACAGAAATAATGTCACATGTAGAGTTCTTGTATCTTTTTTATTTAAGAGGGGTAGTGTTTTTATTTTAGAACAACACTTATCTTGCTTCGTATTAGTATGCAAATTGTTATTTACTGCAATTCTTTACGTACAAATAAAATCTTACAATACTTATTGATATGACTTTGATAAAACGTAGACTATAATGGGATGAGATACACCGACAGCGTATCGAGAACACGGTAGAAGCGAAAGTTATTAGTTTATTATAACATTACATGACATGTGTAGAAATGATTTTATATTTAGTTTTTAGTATCCCAAAACTTTATAAATTTAGCTTGTGAAACGCTAGTATAATATTGCACTTCTATATTATATTAAGGATGCGATAAGAAAAGGGTTGCAATTGACACGGTCAAGATCAGATCTTTTTTCGTTTAAAATGCAATGCTAAATAGCGTACTAAACATGAAAATATATATAATTTATGTATTTTTAAATATATGAATATATATATATAAAATGTATTTTGTTTTAGTACTTTTACGACTTTGTTTAATAAAATAATTTTCGAAAAATTTATTACTTGTGTATATGCAACTCTTTGATGTCGAATCTGTAAGACTTAAATTGTTGTAATTTTCTTAGTATAATTATTATAGTACTATTGATAATCTTATATCAGCACAATGAAATAAATTTTCTAATTGATGTAATGGAAATATGTTCTTTGGAATTTTATTTTTCTCTACACATTTATTTCTTCATATTTTTCTTTTTTATATATTCGTTCCACGGTATGCGAACTCTAGAACTATGTAACTAACTATGTACCGCTTGCGCCTGTGCAGGCGTACGCATTTACACAGAATTGCACGACGCTATTGATTTGCCATGAGCGTGTCTGCGATGAGGATTATACATATATATGTGTATGCGTGCGCGGCGCTCTGCGTTTCACACGTTGCATGACACACATTGCCGCGCTAAAATCTAGCGCAAATGCGAGGGTGTGTATGTGTGTGTGTGTGTATATGTATAGCCGGACATCGATTTCTCACGATTTCGCGGATTGATATCCGACGCTTTAGCGAGATGCTCTTTGCCAACGTCAGGCGCTATTATCGCGCTTGATAGCGGCTCTTCTATAAACAGTAACGTCGCGTCGCAGCGTTTTGACACATTCGCGCGTTTTTGTTTTGGTTCTTTCGATAATTGAGAACGATTCGTATATGACGAGATAAAAAGATCAAGGTTGCTGATTACAATAAAACGCAACGCGCAGTAATTTACGTAAGTATAATTGCAAATCGAGAGATTTAAAAAAGGGAACTATTTCATGCGAGTCATACGCGATGGCCAAAGTAACCTCGGTGCGCTTTGATTTTCCTTCTAATCGCGACGAAAAACGGTCCTTCGAAATTTCGCTGAACAAAAAACTACTTAGATCTCCCGTCGGCTATTTCTAATCTCTTATGGATAAAGAGTCTAGCGTTGCGCGTTCTAGAAACGCGAAAAGCAGGTTAAAGTCAAGCGATGTAGCGGTCATCAACAAGCAGGGGCGTTCACGAAGACAAAGCCTCGTAAAAGCCATTTGCCGTATCCCAACATTTAGACTCCAAACGTTGCCCGACTGTGATTCTCGAATTCGAAAAAGGCAGCGGGTCGCAAGCACGATTTTTGTATTGGATTTATACGCTTAACGCGGCGAAATGAAAAAAAGAGACGACCGTGTATAAAGCTAAATATGGAATAAGGCAGGCGAGGCTTCTTTAGTGGCTCTGTAACAAAGCGTATCGCGAGCACACGAATACAGTTACGCGATGCATAAAAGCATCCCGATGCGTGGTGAATGCCGTGCGTTTTCACATTCGGCCTTTGTATCGATCTCGCGCGTCTCTAGGAAATCGCCGTGTATGATATTGCGCGGCGGTATTTACATCCTGAAACTCGTTAGATTTCCGCGGCGTCCATCGATCCATTGAATTTGCCTCCCTTCTCGCCCCTCGCCCCCCCTCCCGCCCCGACTGCAATTCTCGTCTCGTGGTAATTGTCCGCGTTCCTTCCGCGCGCGCGGAGAGAAGCTCATGGGATTCCGGGGAGCGTCGCGGGGGAGGGAGAGGAGCGGTGTGCTACGCGGTCGGGCGAGCGTATCGTAGTACATACACAATTTCGAGGCGATTGACAGGGCACTCGCGCTCGCACTCGATGCACCAAGGCGACCAATGCGACGCGCCGGCCGGCCGTCAGCCCGCCGTCGGATTGGCCGGCGGCGCACCGCGGGTTCTACGTGCCTCTCGCGCGATTTAATTTCCAGGAGGCGGGGGGTGGCGGGGGGAGAGGGGATAGGGACGCGAGAGAGCCCGTGACTCGGGTGAGCGTCCACTGCCATCGGAGTGTGCGAGGAAACGGATAGTGGTGCACCTAAGTTCGCGCTCGCGTCCGCTCGTGTTTCGATAATCCGCTTTCTCTATCGAGGTAGGTGGAATTGCGCATCGGCGAATCGTGCCCTCGCGAGAAGCGCGCGCGAAATGACGCGCGAGCGAAGATTCGGGCGAAAGCGGGCCGCGCGGGCCTCGGGAAAACGCGAGGTGTTTCTATCGCGTCTCGCTGGGCTCGCGCCACCATTTTGCGATTGACATTCACGGGCAGGGAACGCGTCTCGGCGCGACGCCGACGCTCGCGACCGCCCGCGGTTTTTCGTCCGAGCGGCGACGGCGTCGCGATCGTGCCGATTTATCGCGCGGATCCCCATTGCCGATCGTCCGCGGCCGTGTCCTTAGGTTTCCATAGCGTCTCGGAATCTATAGACACGAATTCTTCGGCTGACAGCGCGCGGTTTTTTTTCTCTTCTCTCTCTCCTTCGTCGCGGGGGAACGAAAGTTCGTGCGCATTGCGCAACGCGCGGCGTTCCTCGGTACGCCGTTTCTCAACGCGAACAGCAACGGATTGAACCCCCACCACGCGACGCATTACCACCACTATTATCATTATTTCCATCACCACCGGGTCTTTTCCCCACCACGGTTTCGGGGCTTTAGAGCTTTAGACGCTACTCGCTTTCAGCGTAGGTGCATCGGTCGTTACTCGCGTTTGTCGCGTCGTCGTTTGTTGATTTCGCGTTCAGTGCTGGGTCGGTGATTAAGGAATTCTGAGCAATCAATGACAAATAAGCCCAATAATTGAAGAAGGGGATAGATAAAGAGTGGTGACGTGGCTTCAAAAATTTCTTACGAAATTTTTTCACTGTGTGTCATAATTTTTCGTAAATGTCAAATAGAAATATTCGATAATTCTTGTCTCAGGTTGAACCATGGCACGTACCAAGCAGACGGCCCGTAAGTCAACGGGAGGAAAAGCCCCGCGTAAGCAGCTTGCGACGAAAGCGGCTAGGAAAAGCGCCCCGTCCACCGGTGGTGTGAAGAAGCCGCATCGTTACAGGTACGTACGGAGGGCGAATGACGAATTGAATTGTAAAGCTAGGTTGCAAAATATTACAAAAACTTTACGAATTTATTTAAATTAATTTTAGTTTTTGTCCGATGTTTGAAGTCTATGGAATGCTTTGTAATTTTTGCAGGCCTGGTACTGTGGCTCTTCGAGAAATCAGAAGATACCAGAAGTCAACCGAGTTGCTGATCCGGAAATTGCCGTTCCAACGCTTGGTTCGTGAAATCGCACAGGACTTCAAGACCGACTTGCGTTTTCAAAGCGCTGCCATCGGCGCTCTGCAAGAAGCTTCCGAAGCGTACCTCGTCGGTCTCTTTGAAGACACCAATCTGTGCGCGATCCATGCGAAACGCGTAACGATTATGCCTAAGGATATCCAGCTGGCCCGGCGAATCCGCGGCGAGCGTGCTTAAGAGACGCTATGTAACTCACATACATACCGTTTATTGCGATTATTATTATTAATATTATTATATATTAATTATTACCGTTCGCAATCGTCGTGGATGAAGCACTTTCATTCCAAGCTCTGCATAATTTTGTTTTATCCATATAGAAACTTACATACTGTAGTGTTATCCAGTGATTTTTTTTTCATATCTCCGGTGATGTATAGAATTCGATTGGATTTCACAAATCATGCGGGATATAAAAAAAAACATTCTCTTTTTTTTTTTTTTTGTTGCTCTCGAAACTTCCCGTGTTTAACAACTTTGTAGTTTGTATCACATAGATATTCATATATTTACAAGGTTTAATTTGCAATACTTTCAGCGCTGAGAGAAATTCACGTATAAATTATTTCGATGGAACAGCGTTTAGAAGCGACGTTTTATTTTCACTCTATCTTATTATCGTCATTAATGTCACATAACAATGTCATTATCATTATTAGTATTTGCAAAAAGTGTGCACTAGAATAAGACACCCTTAGAGTGCCCGATGTAGTGCTTAACGTATTAGACCTCTGTACTCGAGTTACATAAAATCGTTTTGATCACCTAACTATTGTGTAAAAATTTGTGTAAAAATAAACGCATTTCGTAAATAAATCTAAATTCGCTCAATTTACTTTTACATCAACTTCAATCAAATGTTCCCAGAGTTAATGCTAGAAATTTATCTCCTTAGAATAGAGGTACCTGAACACAAAATCAATATAAATTTTCAAAATAATTATATTTTGTAATATTTTTTTTTCAACTGAATTTCAAAGTACATAACATAATTACGGTTACAAATAAAGACTAATGATTTGCATTAATAATATTTTATTAAATGAGGTTTTCACATTTCATATTAATACAACATGATTATACGATTCTCCATTTACGATAACAATTTTGTATCTTAGCAATGGTTCTTCTTTTTTCTTGCAATATAGTTTAAAGAACTAAATTTTAGATCTAAATCGCGTTTTGCCAGTCCTTATAATGTATATATAATCATTGGAATCGATCCAATCGTTCACCATGAAAAGTACTTTTGTGATTAGAGAATATCTTTTTTTTTGCAGAATATTAAAAAAATAGAGGAATTATATTTGGAAACACGTTTAGAGCGCTAAAAAGTACACATTTTTACAAAGTATACGCAATAATTATATATAGACAATTGGTAAATACAAATTACAAATTATACTACATCTACGCGTTAAAAACCAAGTTCATAAATTAATTATTAATTGTGTAATTACCTACAAACGTCACAAGTATTTCGTTTCTAATAAATAATGATGTTTCATTACTGCTATGTGTAATATACACGAAGCGCTTGAGACAATAACGTATATCACAAATTTGATAAATAAATAAACAATTAAAAAAACTACGTTATTCTCTACTTTGTGCATAATATTTGTGTTTAATCTTTAATTTAATCTTTGAAAAAAAGAAAAGGAAGAATACGAGATTTCTCGCTTGAGGCCATTGACTTTATAAAAAGCGCAAATCAAGACTCACGTCTCAATGTGTGTTTATTGCCCCAAGCTCTTCACTTGTATATGTGTATATTTACAAATTCCTACTCGTATGCTATTAATGAAGCAATTTCCATAATGTCGCGCGGTGTCGGAGACAGAAATTAACGTTTCGACGCAATTAACGCGAAAGAGAATATCTAAAATTCCAGATATATTAATAATAAGTAACAACACTTTGTTACTTTTACCTTATTATCTTCCGTTATTTACATGAAAACCAGTTATCGCTTTTTAGTTATACATTGTTGCGACTTGTGGCAATCAAATTCATATTTACTATATCAATATAGCGTGATACATTTGAAGCGAAGAGAAATTAATACGAGAGAGGAATCCATCAAAGTCACCAGTACGGATATTTTTCGTTTTTAGCTATTACAGCGGCAAGCTTACACACATGTAAGTTTCAATAATAAAATATACCTTTTATTTTCTTTCTCATAACAAAAACGCAAACAAAGATACTGTGAATTCTGCGAACAGTATATTGTAGAATAATTTCATACAGCGTTAGTGACATTTATATCACTGAGAAATATCGCTTACGATAATTACAATCGGAAATTGTTCTAATTTCATATACCTTCGAATAATCGGAATGCGCTAATTCATCAACATTGCCGTTATTTTGAACAATGTTTCCTTCAATGAGCAAGATATCGTAATGTCATTAACGCAGCATGAAACGCTGCAAGGAGACTTGTGTGTAGCCGAAAATGGAAATTTAATTTTCTGTTCTAAGAACGATTTTTCATGCCTGGCATGAAACATCATAGCATTTTTCAGCTTTTGCGTTAACGTATTCGGAATAACTTAATAAAACTCGAACAAAGTTATTGTTATGGAAATTCTCGAATTAACATTACATTGGGGTTTGCAACATCGGTGATGTGCGGACATATGATCGCTGCGACATTATTCTTCGTTTACAATCGAATGTGGTTGTTGTTTCCTGAGGCTGGGCTTCTGACTTGTCGTCTAGCCCTAATTGAACAGATGTAATAATCTCTTGTTATAGCTTGTGTTTAGATAAAAAAAAAGGATACTGGACGAGCATGAGCCATTTACACTAGTGAACATTTAGCGATTTGATCTGTGCACAAGGTCGTTGAACGCTGTTCAGCGCGTCGAAAATGTCTTCAAGAAGTCTTATTCTATTAACATACATTCAAGAAATGTAATATCATCACACATGGTATCCACTCAAATCTTAGAAAAACTCCCCGAGTATTTTATGATCTTCCACCATATATTTTAAATCAAGTTTCTAAATAGAAAGTATTTTTCATATATATGTTTGGAATAAAGTTACTTGACGAATGAGCTTCTTAATATTTTCTACTCAATCTTATGGAGAGGAAATTAAGAACTATGTCAAATATTAAATTTAAAAGAATATTCGAAAGAATTGAAAAACAAATCAGTCAACAAAAGATAAAAATAAGAGAGAACTCGAAGAGAACTTTTTGGTAAAAAGTTTCTCTGAATCTCGAAGTTTCTTGAAAATTCCAGATTTTTCCAAGCAGCAGACACCTTGTGTAATAATGCTATAACATTTTCATCATACTGTGCATAAGAATGCGATAAAAATAACAATAACTGTTCATGCAAGAAAGAATTCATAAATATAGCATCTCTTATTATGCGGTGCACATGATATCTTTCTAAGTATAGTCTTTCTTTTTTATAAATCGAGCCACGAATAATCTCTTGTCAGCATAGATCACGGCTCAGCATGGCAGTAAATCGATTAGAAGAATATTTTTTTTACAATATTTAGGAACGCTACTTCAAAGCTGTCTAACATCATATTATGTTTTCATTACGAAATTGAAAACAGTTGTCTCTCCAATGCAATTGCACTTTACTATGATACTTGGTATCTATATACACTATTTACACACGTATACTTAGCGCTAAATTATTAAAAATATATATAACTTATTACCACAGTTTTTCGCGAATTTATAAAACGTTTTGTACTTGGATAAATCTTCTTCTACTGCAATATTTATATTAATTATAGAATTTCTATAATTATATTAGCTACAGAAAAAGAATTTTGTGATCGAATCCACTTTTGAAATATGTAGAACATATTTATACACCAGCAAGTGAGCGTCGTAAAATGTGTAATCATATTTATCATTTCGATAAAATATAAATTTTGATTGAAGAATTAAGAGAACACTTACAAATATATATTATATACATTTTGGCAAAACTATTTTATGTTTTGAGTCTGAATAAGCATGTAGCTTATTAGAGAAACATATCACTTTGCATTAATAAAATCTCCACATGTATGCAATACAAAATGATGAATTACTGAACATATTTCTATTTCGAAAATTAAATATGTGTGTAAATAATTATTTTTTAAGTTTTTCTAAAAAATTTTAGCCGAAAAAGATTTATATCCACATGTAGCTTCCAATAAGAAATTATTGTACATTTATTTTGGAACGTACATGGCACACATGTTTAGGAAACATTGATAACTAGCGCAAAAAATTAAACTAATTATGTCATTGTCATATTGCATTTATATACCTAATCTAAACAATGGTCTAAGAAGCTTATTTAGACAAGCCTTATAGAGCAAAGAAGCAATATATTATGAATAGTTTTATGACTGAGCAAATTAAGATAGGTATGACATGTAAAAAAATTTTCAATGCATCTTATTAACTCTTTCGCTGCTAATTACATTTTTCTTCTTTCTTTCTCTCCTGGAAATTATTAATTACAAATTAAAAAATGTTTATTTACACAAAAGCAGTATCAACTGCATAAATTTTCTGCTATCGAAACTGCACTGAGAAACGAGATATGTACAATCAGATATTTTTATATGTGCGTGAGTTAAAAACTCTGGGCAGCAAAGGAGTTAAAATAAAAGAAAAAGTCTTTGCTACATAATAAGGCAGTTATCTGTTATGTGAGGGAATTGTCTTTTTCAAACTTTTCTGTGTTCTAGGAAAAAATCTAGTACCTACTACTTTTTCCAGAACATTGAAAATATGATAATATTGCACAAAAAGCTTCAAATATATATAAATTGGTGGTCTTAGCGCTGACCGTGACAGGCATAAATGATGGAAGCACAACCAACGTATTATACTAGCAGTAAGTACAATTGAATCAGCGAGATATCACATACCATATTGTTTTGTGCAATTTTAGTCAAAATCTCGAAATTAATCTAAGAATATTTGCAAATTAATCTCAAATATTTGTTCACGGTAAAGTAAGATTTTTATCACAAATTAGGTACATGATATCTACTTGTGAGTACAATGCACGATGGAATAGGAATATAACAATACAATTTAACGTGATTAAAAAGGGATTGCTGTGTTACCTGTAGAGATCACGAACAGCTTGATCTTCTCGGAACGCGTTTCTACATGTATTCAGCTTATTCTCCAAGGCCTGTAAAGAAGAATAATCGCGATTAAGAATCATTTTTAGTATACATTTTTCAATGTATTTCAGTTACGATATCCAACGATAACAAGTGCGAAAATTAACGACGAAATTGCGATCAATGTTAAATCGACAAGGCTGTTAAAGCATACAGAGTTATTGTTTTAATGGCTAAAGCACGGGAATGGACGCTCGGTGATATCTGAATTAGGGTTGGCATACAGTGAGTGCAAGTGAGCCAGGAACACTGCGTTAACGAAAAAAAATCAAATCAAGACCTGCTGTTTAAGGAGATGTAAAATAATTTAACGATGAGGTATCAGGATGAAGATCTGCACGCGGTCGGTCTAGGTTGTTGCCTTATACACTGAGTAGACGCGCGCGTCTGGGCCGCCGATAACTCGGTAGAGGAGGTGGTATTCGATATTTGTCTGCTCGGACAAGTGCATTTTATTCTCCTACAGCCCATGCAGACCCACCTGTCAAGCTGCCAAAACACCAACTACATCACACTAATCACCAACTACTTAAGGTGCGAGTAAAAAGTGTGACCTTTGTGCTTACGCGAGATAGGAAATATTTACAATCTCTCATTATTCGAAATATATATATATATATTAATTACGATTGATATTTAACAGTGATATAGTATTTTGCAACAAACATGGTGTTTGGCTGAAACAATTAATGAAATAATCTATATCAACACACATAGTTGCTTGGTATCATCAAACGTATATACAGCAACTACTACCGGAACAATTTATACACTATGCAATAAAAATACAGAAAAATATATAAGCCATGCTTTAAGCTTAGAAGATTACAAGTGTAGTAAAGAAAATATTATTGAGATGTGTCGCTCTTACCCCGACTTTTCGCATAAGATCGCCAATCATATTCATTGCCAGTATTCTGGTGCAGGGTGGCAATGGTTGGCTCATATTATTATTGTTGTTTCCAATAACACCCCCTACCATCCCGTGTCCAACTGGCAAAATACAAGAACAAAAATATTACTTACAAATATAAAAACTGTTGAATAAAATAAATAGAATTGAATAATAAAGCTATTAAATAAAATTATAAACTGGTAATTCTGTTATTAGACCCAAATACAATTTATAACCATTGTATTAGAAGATATGTTAAAAAAATATAAAAAAAAAATACTGTTAAAGATATTTATTTCATTACATTGATGATAATGTTTCATATTGTTCAATTTCTTTTGAATACCATAATTAATTCATAATTATTAAGCGATTCAATTGTTTAAAATAAACAATCAAGTGAAACATGAAAAACCAAATTGCCAATCATGTTAAATCATTTTCGATTTATGCAGGACATTTAGCAATATTTTTTTTTTTCTCAATCATTTGGGCCTTATTTGATGTCTGATTGCGTAATTTTGTATTGATCATTTTTGATAATCGCTTTTTCAAGGTAGAATGAAAAACATGTGTTGTCTTAACGAAAACATTATGTATCCTACTTTTTATCGGCGAAGTCGTCGTATTATTCGGAGGTATGGTTTGTGGGACTATTTGGCTAGCAGGTGAATTCGACTCCAATTCAGCCTGTAGCTTATTACTATCGACGATACTACGAACTCTATCAGTAGGTTTGTTGTTATCCGCATGATGTCTTTCGTGCACTTGTATCTCCTGCTTTAAATCTGAAAAACCGTAAAATATTAGCTACTGTGTATTGTAAAATATGATACTTGTTGAATAAAGCGAAAACTAACCTCTAACTTCGTCCATTAATCTTTGCACTATTACTTTTAAGCTTTCCTTTTCGTCGAGTTCCGACTCAAGCAAAGCATTCTTTTCTATAGCTAAATTAAACTTAGCTTCTATTTCTTCTTCCGTAACCCTATTTATCCTGCAATAGATATAACGCTTTCATTGCCTATCAAATTGTTAATGATTGATTTTTGGTTTTTATCAATTTAAAACAAAAATATTGCATACCTGTGTGCTCTTTCTAAGTCGTCATTTTTCTGTTCAAGTTCTCTAATATACTTCAGTAGGTGCTCCTGTTGTTGCTGTAAATCCTGTGCTTTGCCCTGGAACATAGCACAATCTGCAGATTGCTGGTCTAATCTCGTTCTCAGTTGTTCAACTTCTGTTGCAAGCCTTGTGTTTCTTTGTCTCAATTCTCTATTTGTCTTTTCTGCTTGTTCCAAGGAAGTCTCAAGCTCTTTCTCCAACATCTGTGAATTCTCTTGAAATTCTTCCAGTTCACGTTCAACATCATCTTTCCTGTAACAGAGCAATAGTTGCTATTTTTTAACCTTCCCACTGCAAGGAGCCGCTATAGCAGTCATTCATTTATTATACAAAGAATACACTAAAGATAGTTACAAATTTTCTCTGTATATATAAAAACATTAGGCAACATTTAGCAGAGTAGAATGTTGAATTGATTCATAATATTCCAAACTAGATTGGACTAATTAAACTCAATTGACTACTTGCACAGCTGTTGTCTCTGTTTGAATTATTGCAACGTCACTTATTAAGTCATTAAATATATATTTAGTCATAATTTCTTAATCGATTTACAATAATCTACGATTAGTTATAAAAGTATATTAATTTAACACAATAAAATTTTGCTTTTTGACCACATACAATATTCTAATAATCATTATGGTATTGTTTTGATATTAATAATTGTTGTATTTTATTTTTATGTGTATCTACCTTTGATGCAGCTGTTGAGCTAGATCCATCCAATATTGAATCTCATCGTCCTTTGACAGAAACTCTGGCGGATCTATATCCATCATTTTTCTGGTGGATGATTACAACACTGTATGCAATCCTACTTGCCTCCGATCTTCAATTGTTCCAAAATATGTTACAAACGGATAACAGTTTGTTTTATACGCTGCGCACTGACATTCCGCAAGAAAGCAGGCGTGACAAGATCTAACCAAGAAACAGAAATGAAAATATGAAAAATAGCTAAATGGATGATGTATCGTTATTCTCATTCAAGTATTCTGATGCTGCGTAATTTTAAGATATTCGAATTCATTGTCTATCAAGTCGTTAGTTCTAAGTACGTCGAAAGCACATTCTTCGTTCTCGCTTCTATTAACGAGCGAGAACTTTTTAACTCGAAGAAATGAGGAGAAAAGAGACACTTACTCACAATCGAAGACGTATGTGAATGTGCTTTCGATATTTCGTATGTGGACAGACCTTGAGCAAAGCACCGTGAGCGAGATGTAGTCGCGCGTGTAACGTAAATGTCATTACCGTGTTATTATGAGTCACACTGGCCGACGAGAGCAACGACGAAGAGGTATAACAGGCGCGTAGAAAAATCTAAGGGCGCAGTGGCGACGACAGAAAGGCGCCCGATGTCGTCGATGCGTATCGACCATGCACATCCGGAGGCGCAATCTTCGTCCAGCGAGTTGAGTTCGCTGCACGTTGATCGCGACCAATCGCAACGACGAGAAAGATATTCGCATTTAATCGCGGGCACCGCCGCCAAACACTCGGTCGCTGGCGGGTTCAAAGATCATGCAAAATGGTGGGCACGCACGGGAAATTAAAGAAATTGTGCGAGAAAGTGAAAGCGTTTCTCGTTAAACAACTTCCCGACTAGTCAAGATTAGAACGAAGACCGAAAACGAACAAACCGGTTGCGTAGTATAAACGCAGATTTGGGGAAACGTGTGATTGCTTTTCGAGTTGTAACTCCGCAATTTTTTGCGAAACGGAAGCTAAGTTCGACGGTACAACGGAAGATCGCAGCACTATCGACCGCTATTTAAGGGTGCATTCAGACAACTTGCATAAGCGTATAAGCATACGCATAAGAAAATAGACAAATTATGTGTTTAATATCCAGAATTTTATAATATAAAAAAAGAACACCATTTTTTTTTTATTTTATGTTAATTTTAAAAATGTTTAAAGTTGATTAGTAGCGTGCGCTATTTTTTGAATATTTTTACATTTGTTGCAAAGGAGGCTTGAGGTTGTATCTTAGGGAATTTGAAGTTTTTAAGTTCACTTCAAGGTTTTATAAAGGGTTGGTATGAATGGTGGCATATAAAAGCGACCATTTTCGCCAACCTCCTCCATTTCCTTCGTCAATAGCGTCATGGTAAGTTGGGGTGTGATTGAGTCTTCGAAAAATCCAACGTGCTCTGTAATATCTTTTAACATCCGCGTTTTAAAATTATAAAATCGTACGCTTGAATATCTTCTTTATACTTCTAAATAATTATTACGTGAATTACAGCTAATATTAACATTATTTGTCTTATGTGATAACGATCTACAAAAAATTTTGCAGTCGCATGGCTTCTCGTACGATGCCTAGGTTTAGATTAGAATTAACATGATGATTCAAATTATGGTTTATGGTTTTTTGACTGAATAACCTTGATGATAAACCTCTAGGGCGGTCTGATAATTTTTATCGGAAAGACTTAATTTTTGCATATTAGTGCCACGTGTCTCAGGCTTCTGTGTCTTATATTACAGTCGCACAGAAAGTTCAGCGCTCCCCGACATGGGTCGATGGGTTTCTACCCGAAGAAGAGATCGCAAAGACATCGTGGAAAGGTTAAGGCTTTTCCGAAGGATGATCCTAGCAAGCCCGTGCACTTGACCGCGTTTATGGGCTACAAAGCTGGTATGACTCACGTTGTGAGAGAAGCCGATCGTCCTGGATCGAGTGAGTAATTATAAAAGTAAACTCTCCAATTAAATTAGCGATATATGTGATTTGAGCAAAGAATTAATATTAAAAATGTAATTTCTAAAATGCTTTTAAACGTTTTTTTTTACTTTTGCATTTGTTTAATACAATTGTATTATATTAATGCTTTGTTAACAATGCATGCTTTATTAACAATGCATGAGCTTACAACATGTTAACTTGGGTTGATCGACACAGAAATGCGTTGATTTATCTGGGTTGCAGTGCGAGAGCTGTTTTTAATACAGTATGTTTTCCATACTGCCATGTTGCAAAATAACACTGTGCACTGCTTATACATGTTGCATGGAAGCAAGATATATTCCAGGAACTCTTTGGAGTCCATTGGGCAATGACCACTGAGACAAACCATATCTAGTACAGTTCTTTAGCATTTTTCCCTAAAATAAGCACATTCTATAATTTTTCTTTTAAGTTTCTAAATATGGACTGTCTTTTCAGAGGTAAATAAAAAGGAGATTGTAGAGGCTGTTACTGTTATCGAGACAGCTCCTATGATAGTGGTTGGTCTTGTTGGATACATTCAAACGCCACATGGACTTCGTGCGCTTGCTAATGTCTGGGCGGAACATTTGTCGGAGGATTGCCGCAGACGTTTCTACAAGAACTGGTTAGCAGAAACCACATGTATTCATTATACAAATATTTTGATATTACAATTTGAATCTTTGCGACGTGTTAACTCAGATGTTGATTGATGCAGCAATGCATTGATCCATCTGGGTTGCAGTGTGAAAACTGCCTTCAATGCAGTACGGTTTCAATACTGCCACGTCGAAAAATAACACCGTGCGCTGCTTACGCGGAATGCATGGAGGCTAGATATATTCCATAAACTTTTTGGAGCCCATTGGGCAGTGACCATTGAGACAAACCATATTTAGTACAGCTCTTTCCTTTAAGATAAGTTGTATACTTCTTATATACACACGATACTAAACTATATAATATCAGCTCTCCGCTCGTAAGATGAGAGTAATCACTTGGATATGGCCATTGAAACTCTGTGTTTTAATAACGGCTGGTCCAACAAATGTGCCCAGTCTCCGCTCGTTACGATGAGACTGACACGTTACAGAGTGACGTGGATGGCAAAAGCGTACACAGACGGGCATTGCAATTGATTTTCTGACAGGTACAAGAGTAAGAAGAAGGCGTTCACGAAAGCGTCGAAGAAGTGGCAGGACAATCTTGGCCGCAAGATTATCGACAAGAAATTCCAAAAGATCAGGAAGTACTGCACGGTTTTACGCATCATTGCTCACACTCAGGTAACGAGACAACGTGACGATACCAAAAGTATCGAATACATTCGTAAAAGACGAGTCGGTCAATTTTTTTTTCTTTCGTTATTCAGATGAACCTAGTGGGACATCGTCAGAAGAAAGCTCATATTATGGAAATTCAGTTGAACGGCGGTACCATCGATGACAAGCTGCAATGGGCGCGCGATCATCTGGAGAAACCTGTTCCCATTAGTACCGTGTTCAGCGCCGATGAGATGATCGACGTGATCGGAGTCACCAAGGGCAAGGGTTACAAAGGTGCGTTTTTCTGCGTTATATACATCAGTGTGTGTATGTGTGTGTTGCTCGACACCCCCCCCCTCACTGCCCCTCAAATTGTCACGCTTGCCCCCCCAACAGCCCCATACTTCGCGAGAAGCATGCTTTTAGAAAATTTTTCTAGGACTGTATGATGAAAAGCATGACGTGCATTTATCTGATTATCTTGACGATAGAACCATGCTGCCTTCCTACTGAAGTCCTTAATCGACAAACGATGAACTAACTAAAATCAACTCCGGCTTGCCCCAATTAACAAGCGTGTGTGATTTTTATAAAAATTGACATTTTTTCCTGCTTCTTTCAGGTGTCACGTCCAGGTGGCACACAAAGAAATTGCCGCGCAAGACTCACAAGGGTTTGAGAAAGGTCGCCTGTATTGGCGCGTGGCATCCCAGTCGCGTGTCCTTCACCGTTGCGCGCGCTGGTCAGAAGGGATATCATCATCGTACCGAGATGAACAAGAAGATCTACAGAATTGGACAGGGAATCCATGTGAAGGATGGCAAGGTGATTGTTAAATTTAAATTTAAAAAAATTACCTGCCTTTTTACATGATTTTTCGAACACGAAAAGATATTTGGTGCTTTTTGTGTTCTGTAAGGAGGCAAGATTGAAGCCACTTGCTCATAGTGCCTGAAGAAATGTCACACTCATGCTTTAGGTCTCCTAGACGAGTTACAAATTAATCTTTAGACAATATTTAAGTTGCGGTTAAGATTGTTTTTTTCGCAATTGGCACTCATCACTGTTTGCTTATCTTCCATAGGTTGTGAAAAACAACGCCTCGACAGAGTACGATCTTACTGAGAAGACCATCACGCCCATGGGCGGCTTCCCGCACTACGGTGAAGTGAACAACGATTTCATCATGATTAAGGGATGCTGCATGGGTCCGAAGAAACGTGTAATCACGCTCAGGAAGGTAAGAATAAACATTAACAAATAACTATACCTTATTCTATTTGTTCATGATGAAATTCGAAGAGCATAATGGTCTGATTTACGTTCTGAACAAATGTTCTAAACGTAAATGATAGTTAAATGATAGGTCTGATTAAACATAATGTTATTAATGTTTATCTACAATCAAGGAAATACATAACGTTGAAATGTACTTTGCAGTCTTTGTTGGTGCACACGAAGAGGTCTGCGTTGGAGAAAATTAACCTTAAATTTATCGACACCAGCTCCAAGTTTGGACACGGTCGCTTCCAGACCGCTGCCGACAAGGCCTCTTTCATGGGTCAACTCAAGAAGGATCGTCTCCGCGAGGATCAAGCGCAAGCTACCAGCGCGGCGCCAAGTGCCGCAGCAGCACAGTAAAATTGTACACCTTGCTGTGTGCATGATCCATGAGAAAAAATAAATTTTTAAAAATTATAAACTCATCTTATTTATTTTCTCGTATTCATCTTGTGTATATATGTGTATATATCTCATTAAAAATCCAAAAGAAATTTAAGACAACGGTGTTTTTTTTTAATCTTAAATTTTTTGTATATTGTAGTTTAATTTTTGTAATATTTTTAACTTTAAATATATTTGTTATATTTCTTGAGCTGTAAACTCACGAAAAGCATTAAATTCATTAAAATAAAGATTAAATAGATTTAGCAGAGATTCGAAATTGAATTTTCTTGAAGATTCAAAATCTAGCGAAGATTCAAACCCGCTTGTTTAGTGGAGATTTAAACCCTACTAGCGAAGATTCGAACCCTTAGTGGAGACTTAAACCTGATTAGCAGATACAATTACAAATAAATAGAGAATTTTGTAATAGCAATACTAAAAATTTAATTGCCACAATTAACCGATCGTTAGCAAGAGAACAAATAGAAATTTTATTAATCCCATTGTAACGTTAATCTGATTAAATATAATAAGATAATTATTATTCGTAAAAATAAATATTGACAATTAAAAAAAACTTTTCGAAGTCATTAATATCATATAAAAATATATATTTCCAAATACGTATGCAAAGCTGATTCCCACTTTTTCAAGAAGAGTGTTTGCAGTTGTTACTGGTTGTTACTGTTATATACTGTACTGTACAGCTGATCACTACTAGTGGTCGCCAAATCGTGGTGATCAGTATCGAAGAACAAATTTGTAATTAATTATCAGTGTTGTATTTCATATATTTTAGAAACGATGGCAGAAAAGGATAATACTTTTATAACCAGATGGATGAGCAATCTATATTACATGTTAGACACACCAGTCACTTATGTCCGAGGTATTATCTAATCATTGTTTGGTTATGTTCTTCCAGTTAAAAAACAAACGTTTCCTCTTTTGTTACAGAAAAATTCGTAGTACCGAATCAAAAAAAATATCCGTGGTATCATCAACAATACCGTCGTGTGCCAAACATTGACGAATGTTACACCGACGATTTGGTCTGCTATACTGAGGCAAATGCTCAATTCTTTCGCGATAAGTAAATTAAGTTTCATGAATTATTAGGAAGTAAAGAAGAGACTATTTTAATATTTAGAATATTAACGATAGTTTACTTGCCAAGTAAACATTTTGCTTCGATTAACTTTTGTTTGTCTTTTGATACTAGATCAGTAGAGGATGAAATTTTGTTTATTCTGAGAAGTCGTTTTGAACAATGTGCTTTTTATCACGGCGAGGATGCTCATTTATGCGACGATTTGAGGAAAACTTACGACGATGCGGCCACTGCTTGGTTTATGAAATGTAAGTATATACTCTATAATAGACGATTGTTGTGTAGCGTAAGAAAACATTTAAGTTCTAATACCTCTGCTCGATTCTCTTATGTTAAATGCGTAGATGGTGATTTGGGAATAGGTATAAATGTAAGAACTGCGTACATGAAGCAAAACATCGTCTAATTTGGGAGCGTCGTCATGGTCCAGTAGGCACTGGAATGAAAGAAAAAGCGGCTAAAGCGTAGCAATTTATACTGATATTGTAGATTATTTCATGGCAAACCGCATTCGCGCATATTACGGGCCTGAATTGCAAGTTTGCACTAATGTACAGATGTATTGTGAATTAAAGGCGCGGGATAATAAAAGTAATTTAACAGAATCCTACCCAGTCTTGCTTCTTCTTCCTATCTGTAACACTCCGCATCTTATAGATAAGGAGGCGATGTGTGCTGACAAAGAATCTTTTGATATCGAATGAACCAATCTTTCTTTTATTCTTTGCTTCATTGTACAATATATAAAAAGATTATACCCATTGTACATGTATATCAAATTAATTTACGAAATATTTTAAGATGATTCTATGATGATTTATACATTCTAATTTCCTCTGTTATTATGATAAAATCTTGTGCACATTAATCTCATTTACAATTTCTTCTATTTTGACATTATGTTTAAATTGTTTATCGATTATTTAGAATGCCGAAGTGAATTTATAGTACATGTAAGACTCATACTGTATTTGGTACATAAGACAACTATTCGTAAGGAATATCTTATGCGATGGCATACACACAGTGATATATTACATAACATAAATATTTCTAATTGAATGAATTAAAAATTTCTCTTTCTCTCTATATATATATGACACATGTACACGCAAAATCTTTCATATAAATATAAAATACAATAGAATGCACTCTTATTATCGCATAAATATACAACACGTAACAAAACTGTTTTTCTTCGATAGGAATAAATTAACAAAATATTATTAAAAAAAAGTCACAAAATACTATGATCCTTAATAACTATGTAACACTCTAATGCCAGACTGTCACTCAACGTATCGCGATTTTTTAAAGAATCGAACAAAGACAGCATGAGTATTACGTATTTCGAATTCTTCAATTCTTTTTAAATAATTACTTAATTTCGAATACAACAAACTGGCAACATCGTGTAAAACTTATAATCCATTATAGCGATAATCCTATTATTACAATCTAATTAATCTTCCCATGCTGCAAATCATTACACATCCATGTCACATGTACGATGAGCACGAAGTATAAGATTAAAGTGAGATCATTACACACTCTTCTCATTACACATTCTTCTGCACAATTCAAAGAGAGTGGCATTCTCATTTATACAGCTTATATTACGCGCTTAATATATTAGCAGAATGTTATAAAAAAGGTTTCGTATCACGCAGAATCACTCAACTCTCATCGAAAGAATTTCGCAGTGGCTGTTGATACAGAGATACCTGTTGCAAGCTTTACATTTGTTTCGTCTCATTTTGAATAAAAATTACGTGATACTGATCGCCATTTAGTAATATCGGACGAATTTGTCTCAATGATCTTTTTGTTAAAATTCCACTTCACGCTGTACCACGCTACATTATGTTTTCCGATTATTCCGCGCTATACTAAATAATAGTACTAATTTCTAAATTATTGAAAAGAATTTTTTTATGTATTAAAATCAAAATCATCTTTCCATCTCTTACGTATTGTGAAATCACGCGGCAACTTATAACAACGTATATCTTACTCCAATTTTACATCATTAACATATTCGTGAGACATTCATTCATTCAATTATTTGTAATACGTTTGTAAAATTATATATTGAGCTGTAAAAATGTATCAATGATAAATGGAGAAAAATTCGTAAGGCGATTAAGATGAATAATATACAGATGAAGATGCGTATGGTAGACAAGAGAATGTTTGCAGTTGGCAACAATTATATGTAATATCCTTTTTTTTTTTAAACATACAGTATGTTATATGAATGCAACTCACATTGTCTTTGATAATGTGAATGTGGGCAAATCGAAAGAAGCGGTTTCAATCAATTACATATATTAAAAAAAAAAAAATTTAGATAAGTTATATATTTGATGACTATGGAATCTAGTCTAATTCTTTCTAATTTTATGTTAATGAATATAAAATTAAAAAAAGATATAAAGAATTCCACGATATGTATTGTTAACTAGTCGAAACAATCAAGTAAAAATTGATTGTAAACTCGATACAAACATAAATAAGAATAAAATATTATCAAATGATAGCTCATTAAAAGAAAGTTATTAGATGTGCAATGTAAAATGATCTCTAAATGTAATTATATAATTCACAATTAAATATCCCGGGCAATGCTTCTTGTGTGCGATTTGCCGAATGATTAATTATTGCCATCCCAAGCTCTTTCTTCTCAGTTTTGTGTAATATTACTATCATCGTGCTTCTTTTTTATATCCTATATCACAGTACGAAAAATGCTACATGTTTCCTAATCATCAGCACGTCACTCATACAGTACAAACGTCGCGCATACGTATTTTATGTTACACAATCTTGATTGCAATCATGTATCTACTCGATGTCCCTATTTTTATGCACTTCGAAAATAACTTGTAATTCACTTTTCTCTATATTGGTTTACATACACATTTAATCTATACACAAATTTATCGTAAATTTCGAGTATAAATAAAGTGCGGTACCTACCATCTATGAATTAATTTATAGGTAATTTGGCCTATGTTAATAGCGACGACCTGCTGAAGCGTTGAAGTTCATCATTTCTTACTATCTCCGAGTATAAGGTGACTTATCAAATTGAATCGGTCCTGATTGATCTCGAGTTTATCATTATTTTTACATTTCTCTTTATTCCTTCTGCTTATAGCTCGATCGGTTGATTAAATTGGGCCGCCAGACGTCTTTTGCCTTTAACTACTAAAAGAAATATAGTTTCTTGATATCTTAAAAGAAATAGATAGACACACACACAGAAATCACTTTGTGGAATATTAAATGTAGAAAACTTTTTAAGTTTTTAATAATACAGCTACTCACGGACTTTACTGGAAGTGCTATGGCCATCGCTACTCTCATCATCATCGATAACATTATCATCGCTTTCGGAACTTGCGAGATTGAGATGCATCCTTACGTTAGTTTTCTTCTGATTATCCGCTAATGTCTTTTTCTTGGGTGTTAGCGACAGGGATGGAAGCGGCAGTTCAGATGGGTGTGGTGCGACGACAGACTTGGAATAGTAAGGAGAGGTAGGATACAGGGGGTTTGCAGCGGCAGGCAATAAATTTTTGGTCGGTGACAGCAAGTTCGACGTATCGCCGGAAAGAATTTGACTCCAGCTTGGTAAAGTTAATGGAGGAACCTGGAAGAATATTCAGAATTAATTATCTGTTTAATTTACCTTCGTATTACATTCAACAAAGCAAAACGAAAAAAATATATATATACCTGTACGTTTGTAGAATGTTCATCTTGCGAATATGTAAATTTCGTTGGCGACATCCACAGCGAAGATGTCCAATGCTCTTCTTCACATACTATATCCTGCGCGAGAAAACACAATCGATAAATCAATTGTTTCAGTTGGACATATCGAAACAAATGTTAAAGTTAAATAAAAAAAATACCTCAGGCGGAGAATCGGGCTTAGGTGGCGGCGGAGGAAAGTTGTGTTGCAATATCGGCGTGCGTATCAAGCTATTCAGGAAAATTTCGCCGCCACTTTCCGGAACCGGCCAATTAATCGAGCGTTCCTCCGAATTTGGCAAGTCTTTCCAACGCTTGTCACGACTCTCCGGCCATAAAGCTTTGCCGTCTTTTGCTTTCCAGGAATTAATATTTGATAATTGATTGAGCCACTTCTCACTGTCGTCTATCGTGCCCAAAGTACCCGACATCATGCGGCAGGAAGAATCACTCTCTAACGAGTCGTTGCTGGAGTCCGTGTCGTGATAAGACGACATCGGCTTGTATAACGTTGGCAAAAGTATTCCAGCTGAAGCTTAAACAAAAAGAAAGTTTAAATTAGACGATGCGTTAGAAAAAATAGATCAATTTTATATATATATATATAAAACTTACCAGCTAACTTTTTATTTAAGTAAATAATCGCTTCCTTCTTTCGTGTCTCCTTTATTGTTACGGTGCAAGGCAATGCTTGTAAAAGTGCAGTTATCGTTGGAAAACCATACTGTGCAGGTTTACAAGGTGAACCTATGACAGTCGCATACGATACATCAAACTGCGACAGGTTTAATGTACCACCGTAGTGCATCATTACGCGATACAAATCACAGGCGAACCGATGTAACGGTATCAGTTCAACGAATTGCTCACCATTCACCACTGTGAACTATAAAACGCACTCTTAGAAATTATTGTAATCAATTCTGTTTAAAGCGCGACCTTAAATAGTCCACTTGGCGCTATGTGAACAATAATAAAGTTGGCGAGTAAAAGCGCCGGGTAAACGATTTTACATGAAATTTATATACATACTCGAACAATATTTCCCATATCTTTCTTAAACTCGTCCAGATTACATTGTTTCAAGTAATACTGTGAATATTGTTGAACAAATTCTCTGATGGTCATTCTGTACTGAGGTTGATCCATCAGAATACGCCGGCACTGGAGGGTCGTTTGCTGCAGGTGTGATTTGTCTATTGTGATGATAGCAGGTCCCGTAGCCAGATCTATGATCTGCAATGAAAGTCCAAACAGTCAGATTTCAGCACTATCGAGATCAAAATCGATTATGTATATCGAATATTGCGTTACCTGAACGGTATCGCTGAGCTTTTGCATAAGTTGCAACATAGAGCTGCAGCCGAATAATTCGGGACGTAGCGCGTAACCGAACTGATGCAGGAATGTTTGTGCGATGTTTGAAACACCGAGACCACCTCTGGCGCGTGTCACTAACTTTACGATTTGCTCGGAGAGCACTTTGAGGCCCTCCTTTTCGGTCAGAGATATCTGCCTCTCGCCTCCGTTCACTTCCTCGATCTTGACTACATCCGGGATTGCCTCGAACAATTCGATCAACTTGGTGAATCCGTAATCCGACACGCGACATTGGTGGCCGAAGTGATGATGGTAGGAAGGTACAAACTTGTTGAACAACATTCTGCACTGAGGTGCGTGCTGCAACAACTCGACAACCTGTAAAAAAAAAAAAAACAAACAAAAATTCGTTTTCATTGAATTTGAACGTTCTCTCGGACAAATCGCGAATTACGCACCTCCTTGGCGAACAATTTTGTTCGTTCAATTTCTTCCGTAGTCTGCTCGCGTTTCGGAATAGCTATCATTTTATCGCCGCCCTCGATTGGCGTTACGACGACCGTATTTTCGGACACTTCGCCGAGAATGTCTTCAATTTCGCATACACCATAATCCACGATGTCCCATGGTTTCGCTGCGAGAAAAATAATTCTCATGTACTAATTATTGTAATTATGAAGTAAATCAAAGTAGGAAATTGTTTTTTTAATACCTATTACTCTATTATAAACAATAGGAAATTCTGAAAGTGCTACTTGTTTGCTCGCTTTCGACTTCAATACTCGCAGTAAATCCGAGGTGAACCGGCGTACTTGAGCACGGTGCGATAGCGTAACCACACGCTTGTTGCCTTCGCCCATAACCTAAAAGAATGTGCGATAATTTGCAGATGGTTCTAAATCGAGACAACCGTTTGCGAAATTGCATCACTTAATTTACATACTTGGACAGTGTGTGTAAGTGCCTCTAGCAAATCAATTAGTTTAGTAAATCCGTAATCAGCAACTCTACATTGCCGTCCAAAGTGATGATGATACGCTGGTATAAACCGATTAAAGGGCAATTGGCAGTGCGGTGCGGTTTTCAGAAGATCGACCAATTCGCGACTAAATAGAGCTAACTGATTTGCGAGCGGTGGACTCACGCACTTAGTTTCTGAAAAAAGCATTCACGTTACGGCCTTTGTAATAAACTTTGATACAAAGCAACTTCAGATTTCTGAATCGATTCTTATAGAAGATAATTACCGTCGTGATTATTATCGTTATCCTTTTTTCCTATCCACACAAGATATTTCACGCTTCCGATGTCTTGTCTTACTTCAACAGACGACAAACACGATACCAAGTGTTCCAAAGGTACGCCATTCTCTACGATTTCTAACGGCTTTTTGAATTCAGCCTCGTAACAGTTCGGCAGACTAAAATCAGATTATTCGTATATTTTGTATTTTGAATTAATAATTACTCATATGCATGCCACATGAAATTTGATTAACACGTTGGCCGTCAGCTTTTTTTTTTTCATGTTTTGTGTCAAACGACACTTCGATCGTCGTACTAAGTTTTTAATGCCAGGCCATACAATCGAACGATTTATATTTTGGTATAAAATATATCGTGGTCTTTGATACTACGATCAGTGTGTCGCATGAGTCAACGTGTTAAGACATAAATTATTAAAAGCATACCTTGGCAAAGGTAGAATGCCATTGTGCGATGCTAATAATAGTTGCATACGGGACTCGAGAACCTTGAGAGAAATCCTCACGTTAGGTAAGGATGCCATTTCTTGTTCCGCCCAGCCTTTGTCGGACAACGGCTTCGAGGTGTGGAGTATGCAATACGGCAACTTAACTTGGCCATCCTGCAAATATTACGCAATGTCTCTTATACAATATAAATGTAATATTCTATTACACGAGAATACGCATTCATTCAGTGATATATACGCTTCGCAGTGTGATCAAAGCTTCTCGACGGTAAAAGGAACCAGTTAGCTCTACCGCCACCGGAAAAGCTCAGACTCGGCTTCTTTTCATCATTTTTTGAACGCGGGAAATGACGTTGCTGTAATAACGTCACACACCTGTATCGTATTGCTAAAGCACGGCGACGGCGTGTTTCTGTGATCCGGATTGAGCGAGACCATCCTGCCGCTCGGATCCTCCGTAATTATGCACACGTCTCTCATCTTGTACAATTCGGACACGCTAATGGAGATCATGAACCGGCTCTCGTACATCTCGCGAAACTTAAACAGCGGAAGTTTGTGCCCCGGGACCTCTTGCAGAAGCATCACGATCTGCGCGCGGATAAGCTGCGGGTTTGGTCCACCAGTGTGAGCGTACGATATCAGGATGCGCTTGTAGCCTATTTTACGGCGATGCAATTGCGAAATTGCGTATTGTGCGTCCGGCAGCGACGGTACTTTGACGCTAGCGGCGAAATTACCGTCCGACTGCATAAATACAGAAATATGACAGACCTAAAATGTCAGGAATGTTAGTAGTAAATAACAAGATTTATATAAGAGTCACAACTTCTCGTAGCCACTTACTGAAACATGTTCCATGAACACAGACGAAAGGATCCGCTTCATGTCCTTTATATCGATATTCTGATCTAGATTTGTCACTTGCAATTCGATAGGTATATTAGTGCCATTACTGGTGACAAGTCCGCTGCGATTGTTTATAGGATTAAAAAATTTCTAGAGGAAAAAATTAAAAAAATAACATGTTAATATCGCACAGAGCATGAATTGCAAATAATTGAGTTTATGATGATAAATAAAAAAAAATACCTCCACTTCTTCGTTTTCCGCATCACTCAGATGCGAACGCGAGGTTTGGTTATGTTGTCCTGTTCCTGACAACACGCTATTTTCATAAGGTGACGGTGTTTTGCTGTTTCGCGAAGAAACCTGCTGTTGATTCTAAAACAAAAAGCAATTATCCTTTTGACTTTTTAATACGTATTATCAGTTAAACGATGGAAAAGAAAAATTGTGTTCGTACCTGACCGTGCCACACAGTTTTTTCTCTAGTAGGTGCATCATACAGCGGGGACGGACTGCGCCGTTTGAAATTGGATTGACTCGCTGTTTAAATAACATGTAATGTAATATTAATAACTGTGCACATTAAAATCGAAACATTCCGTACAAGTTTGATTTTAAATTATTACCGTTATAACTGAGTGGGACAGCTAATGAAGTATACGACTGTCGCCCTCCACCCCACTCGGAAGAATGAGTAAATGTACCGTGTGTGCCTCTGATGCGTCTGAGGCCTTCAGGAGTACGAGAGGTAGCACTAACAGCAACGCTATTGTCCCGAACCTGCGGAACGTGAGCTCGCTTCCCCAAGATTTTCGACTTCTCCATCTGTGAATTATCGTTTAACATTATGATAAACAATATGTATATTAGTAATAGCCAATTATGATAAAAAAAGCATGTAAAAAAATACAAGAAAGAATAATTGAAGATATCTGTATGAATTAAAACGTTCACTTCACATAAAACTTACTTTGTATTGTTCTTCCCATATATGGCTATATTGTTGAGGCCCAATCGGCCAAACTAATGGCGACTGCACCCTAGCGAGTTCATTGTAAGTCCTATTAAAAGCTACATCACCGCTATTCGGGTATGATCTTCCAGGAAAAAATATTGGAGGTTGTTGTATCATCCTGTAAGATACATAATAAAAATATTAAACTCATTGTTTCTGCTCAGAATCTTGAAGTAAATAAAATTTGTTTAATATTTTCTCAGATAAGATCAAAGATACGCTCATAGCCCGAATCAGCAAGGATAAGACTCTACTCGTGACTCTAGAGCTCTTTCTCGGATTGTCCATCATTGAAAAAAAAAACAGGATATCTTTTGTTAATTCAACAGATTAGATTTAGAATTGGTAGATAGAATAAATATATAATAAATTTGACAAACTGACCCCGTTTGTGGGGCATTGACGGATGTGCAATGGGCATTGAAAGCAGGAAAGGCGCCCACTACAGGTGACGACGACTGATAATGCGGGAATTGGAGGGTTCGCGTCCCTAATACGGAGGCACTCGTAGCATACATTTGCTTGGAGCTGCTTTGCTTAGAGTCAGTAACAATTTCTGATTCACTGACTGCTCGACTTCGTGTTACGACACTTCCTGAAATAATAACACAACAAGCAATCAAGTAATGTCTTACGAGATTTTGAAGGATTCCACAAATATTCATACCTAGATTTTTGGCGATTATATTTCCTTTTTCTTTATTGAGATATCTTACAGATATTTTTGACCCAAGCACATATTCTCCTTCCATACGCTTCTGAGCCCTACCGAGAATAAAAAAACATCTTTGTTATTGTACAGTAAGTTCAGCAGAACAAGTAATTCCGCTTATAAATGACCTTGCAGACACGAGAATATACAAATACTAATACACCAATTAATTTATAATCGATCGCAATTGATAAATTATTTGTCATAATTTTAATTTTGCGTATGAAATGAATCTTCTTTCGATATTGAACAAGTACAAGTTTTTCCGACAATGATACAAGAGACACGACGTCATGCAACTTACCCCAAGTAAGAATAAAACTATCAGTCGACATCGCAGTGTAACATTTAATAAAACAATAAATACCAATAATAAATTATTTTGTGTAAAAATAATCTTTTCATATAATAAATCTTAATATGTGTACTGATGATGTGATAATATGCAAACTTATTATTCGATGTTCTCTGATACCACTATGTTCGTTATATTAGCCTCTCTGCCCGATATTTCAAATCCACCTTGTTTATTCATCCCTACTACATCTATAGAAAGTATATAGCTGTTTTTTCATTTCTTTTTTTTGGCATAAATACTAATCCAATCATAGAATAGAAAATATGAAAGGCTAATCTTCATGAAATAAAAGCGGGCTATTTAAGCAGGAATTTGTGTACAAGTCACAAACAAGAAAAGGAAGTAACACAAGTAAGTTTCAATATTAGCTTCCTGACTGTCGCTTTTCGAATTTATTCTTTCTCATTACTTCAGTCTTAATAAAACTTAATATATTAACTCAGTTATTTTTTATTAATATAAATACATAAAATATGAAAATAAGTATATTCCTAACAATTTAAAAGAAAATAACTAGATAGTATTCAATGTAACTTTTTCTGTTAAACATACTTGCAGTAATCAGGAAGTTAATACCATATATATATATATATATATATACACATATACCTGTTTGCGAGAATTTTTGACCCAAAGCGTACAATGGCAGTATTTGATTGAACTTCTATCACGCGACCACCACAGTTTTCAGATAATTGCTTAAGACGACGCTTAATGACATTAACATCCGTTTCGTCGGGAAGGTTACTAACTATAAGGTCATGGGAATCATTACCCTGAAAGTGTTAAATGATTTCATAGATAAAATGGAAATATATAGACACACTGAGGACAGGTTGCATGCAAGAAAATTTTGATATTCATAGTACAGTAAATAATGTTTTCATGAAATCACTAATGATTCCATGAAATCATCAGTTATATATATTGGCGAATGTAATAAAAATTTAAAACTAAATACATTCACTGCTAATTTTATAGAATTAAAGCAAATTTATTTACGTATAATCGCCAGATATTTAATTATTTCAAGTGCTTTTACTGTACATACATTGTGTTATTATAAACAAATCTAATTACATGTGTACTAGGATGCACAATGTTGTATACATACATACACAAGACAAAGTATACTCAGAAATTAAAAATAAAAAGTATACTATGTATACTCTAAATATTGTTTATTAAATAAATACATGGAGAATATATCGCGTATGATTTATATTAGCAATTTCAAAATAAAAAATATTCTTTTGTTAATATTATAATCTTCACATACCAGTTTTCATACCTTTGCTGGAGTTCTGGACGGCAATGACTCCGTAAGCTCCATAAAATCGTAATGTTCATTAGCGCATAATATTAATGCTTCCGAGGTATTCTTTTTATGTAACAATATCACATAAATTTTTTTTCTATGACGTAAATCACTAAGATCGGCGGCAAAATTTATGTCGCCGGATATTAAGATTAAAGCTGCTGGACTACCATGAATATCAGCAAATCTCCTGATAGACTGTTTAAGTTTTTCATCTGCAGCATTCTTGCATGTAGCAGATACATGAATTAAATTAACCTAACAAATGTGTAATCAGAATAAATAACTTGCAGAATAAATTTTTATTGTAATGTTCACAGAAAATTATATTGCATAGTTACTTTACCTGAGCATCATTTAGTTCCTGTATAATTTGATTGTTCTCTTTCTGAACATCACAAACTACAATAAATTCTGCTTCTCTATAGCCATTAAAAAATTTGTCTCTAATCACTTGCGTAACTGCTATGGCGGATCTCCCTTTAGGAACCTGTATAACACAATTGCAAAATATAGTGGCAAAAAATTATTTTAATAGTACATTTCCAATGAGAGATTGGCAAACTAACTTGACAGTTTTCAATGTCCCAGAATACACCAATCGGTGGCAGATGAGCTGATAAAGCTTTAACTGGACTATCATAATGCAGAAAAGAGCAATCATGTCTGCAATGACTAAATATCGGAGAAGCAGATGTCTGGGATTCTACCTTTGAATTACTGTTACTTTCAATTCTATTATTATATAATGCTTGGTTTTGAGAAATTAAAGACGAGACCTTTTGTTCAGATAACAATTGCAATAGCTTTTCATTAAGACCCTCAATCTCATCTTTATCATCCGCACCAAGCGTTTGGTAATCTTCGTTGCCTGCCATGTGTTTCAAAAATTATCTAGTAGGATTCCAATGTACAGGCTGAAATTAAACAGAAAACAAAAGTTAACAAAAACATTCTGGCATAAATGCGCATATATTGTTTTCATGTAAATTAAACATTTGCATATTGCATTTGATAAAATTATATAACTTATGCAAAAACAATTAAATTTTTATCAAAGATTCATAGCTGTAAGAGCTTTTTTTTATATTACAACAAAATCTTTTTAACTTTTTCACATTTTTTAACAAAGAGCTTAAATTTGTAAAGATTTAAAAGGTTATAAAATGCCCGCGATTAAATGCATTGAAAATACAGATGAATTTGATGAAAGAAACATTTTCTGTGATACGATAGATTTGTATTCGTATTCAAATTAAGATGTGTTAACGCATATTACTATGCTTGAGATTCAGCAAAAGATAGTGCAATTCAAAAACGCGTTACCTGAAAAATGCAGCCATTATTTTATTTGTAGCGTGCAGCATCAGATGAATGCACGACAACCGGCACAATAAAATGTCGAATGCATAAAACATCACGGGTGCAAGTTACAGTCGTACACATAGTTCACAAAAAACGATTCATGACCGAACCTACACAAGAAATAAACGCGAATCCACTAACCGTGTCTTTTTGCAATTTTCTGCACTTCTTTTCAATCCCCCCTTTCCCCTCTCATACCAACATTCTCATTGCTTTTTGTGTAAAACGCATTTGAAGGTCGCATTTACATTGCGCGATTAACAACGGATTATCCAGTTTAACCAATCAATTTTCGGTTTCTCAAAAAAGATTACATTGTGAATCATTTTCTTTATTAATATGTAATTTACATCTCTATGAATGTTGGAGAAAAATATTAGATTTTTTTATAAACAAAATTATGTGACTATATTTTAAATTATAGAACAATACAAAGAAGCTTTTATGGATTACAGAATAACAACCAGTTAAAAATAAAAGTACTAAAATTTTGTTTTGTGTTTGAATTTACAACATAAAAAAAACTAAAATAATTTTTGGAAAGGAAAACTAAAAGCATCATATTTCACTCCAACTAGATACATTACTGATATCCTGATGGAAATATTTTTCTAAAAATATAACGAAATTTTGTTGAAATGTATTTGAAAATTTCTCTCAATTGACCCCATTAATTAATTTCATAAATATTTCAGCAATTTTTCATTAAAAAGTAACAGTTTTTAGTTCAATTCAGTAAATTTCATAATGATAATTATTTAAAAACTTTTTATTACTTTTCAGCAGTATATTTTAACTTTCCTTATATTTCAAAGTATTACATTAAATATTCATACGGAAAATTATGATTTATTTTGAAATATATTCAGTAATTTTTTAAAAACATTTATTTTACTTTTCATTGATTTCATAGAACTTTCAGCAAAATATTTCCATCAGGGGGTCGATTGTGTATCTTTGTCGACTTTCTCGCCTCTCGTATTTTCATCTCACATGAAAAAATACGCGCGATTGGCTATAAGCGTAGTGAAAATGCGATATCCCTAGGCTCACGAGAG